TTATTATTATTATTATTATTATTCACTTTAAGGAAGATGAATAGTTTTCAACAAACTGGACGGACATTTAATCCCCAACACAAAAATCCTTCTTCTGCTTCTCTAAACTTCATCATGCAATGGCTGTGGGTGTTATGGGTTCACAGTTCAAAAACCTTCACCGTTTCCAAATATATTTAAAGAACTATAAGTAACTATAAGCACCAAACAAATGTGGAAGCACATTTGTTTGGTGCTTCCACCTGGTGGATGTAAAAGGAATTAAAAGCAAAATCTGTTGTGAGAAAGATAGTATTTTCAAATGTCATGAATATTAAAGGGGTAGTATGTATTTTATTTTATATCGTTCTCAAGTAATTATGTTAACTTCAGTTATGCTGTGTCAACTACAACTTTAAAGAAATTTGACTATGTAAAGTCTTAAAATTTGGCCTCGGTTTCTTTAAAAACTGCTCTGAAACTCCACCTTCAGGAAGTCATCACAACATGGCTCCTCTGTTAACCCTTTAACATTTTTACCAGCATTGCACTGAGAAGTAGTTCATTTACCGAGCTCAGCAGATGCATAGTTCAGCTAGATGTTTGCCAATTACTGCTGGCTAGTCTGAAGGAGCCGAGTGTTTGAGTCAGTCACATTTTAAGATTTTCAGCTTTGATCAGTAGAAATAACTTACTTTTCAGTAGTGGACTTTTACTTGCGTTGTCTCTTCATATAGATTTATATTTCTCACCCCACCCCAGTCTAAATTGTTCTGTTTTACCATTTTGGATTTGCTTTGCACTTAGCATGTTCTTGTCTACTGCTGTTGGTTTAGTTTCTCTTTAGGCATTTAATTTGAAAGCTATGCTTATGTTTGTCACCATTTAGCTTCCTCTATTTTTGCCCGAGTCTCTTTGCTGTTCCCTTCCCCAGCTGTTGGATACCTACCTCATCTAGCCTCACTGCTCCCATGAACAGACTGCAGTGATAAAGGAACTGCAGTCAGTTCCTTTATCACCTCCATCCCCTTCTTACATCTAAATCATGAACACGTTCTACTGGCTGCACTTCGATTCTCCTCATTTGCCTGCAGTCCTCTTGACATTTAGGGCTGGGAATCATTTTATGATGGCGTTCCACAAAGCTTTGACCCAAGAAACTTTTTACCCCCCTCTTATAACAGCAATTTCTGCTCTTAATTTCTTTTAAACCTATTTTTTCGTTAAATTTTGATGTAAATGGCTACAAATTCAAAATAATTAATTTGCCTAGAGGCACAAAAAAAAAAGAACCCAGAGACACTTCTGAAATAAATTACCATGATCTTTAATGTGCAACTTTACAACCATAATCGCACTCTGATTTCTGAAAATGTCAGTAAATATTTAGACGAGAAGCTTTTAGCCTTAATATATAATCCGTTCAGTTCCTCTATAAAGAATTGTAATAGTCATTCACATTTCTCAACGGCGTCTGCGTGAAACAAAGCTTTTGTCCAGACTGTGGAAAGCAGCACCGACATGACCAGCAGCACCCAGCTGACCAGGGAAGCGTTTCCTTTAGAGTACAACACAAGCCTGCTGTTCAAAGGCTGCACTGGCCTGTAGATCTGAATCATTTCTCTCCCATCGGGAAAGTGAAGCTGGCAGAATGCAGAGACCTGCAGTGAAGACAAAATCACAACAAAAGAAATGTGACAAGTGGTCAAAAAGACAGGTGGTGATTAATATTTAACATGTTGGTATTATGCATTTTATAGGCCCATAGTTAAAATTTATACCAGTCAAGAAAACGTTTGTCTTTTTTAGGACTAACGAGTTTAAAAATTTTGACTTTGTAATTTGACACTTTGAAATCAGGCCAGTCTCAAACTCCTCTTTCCACCACTCTGCCTTCAGCATGTCAAACATTTTTCATTGTGTCATTTTAAATAGTTCTCAGGAGTGAACTCCTATGAGCTCAGCTGATGCTCAGTTCCACCAGGTGTTTGCCAATTGCTGCTGGCTAGTCTGAAGGAGCTGAGTGGGTGGAGCTGCAGGGGGAGAGGTGCTCTGTAGGGTGGTAGCTAAACTGGAGACTGCATTTTTTGCCCAATATGCCCCATTTAAATCTTCATTTGTGTTTTTTCAGAACAAGGAATCATAAAGCACTGGGTTTGACTTGTCAGTTTTGCTTATAATTCCAAACACTTGAGCTTGAATTTCAGCTGAAGAGAAAAATTAAATATGGAGTGACGATCTCTGAAAAAGTCTTAATCTAAGGAAGACTCAGCCAACAGCAACTGCGTTTCCACTGCAAATGTGCACAAACCTTTGTATCTATATTCTGCTAATGTGGCACAAAAGGGAAAAAAAGGCACAATTGTGCACTTGTGGATTGTCCAATAAAGAAATGACGTGAATAAGCTTGTTCATGCTTTAAGTTATCAATTATGGCAGCAACATATGTAAACAGATGCAGTCATATTCCAGCCATGATACTCAGTCATTGGCATCATATTCAGGCATTTTGGTGACAAGCCGTTTATATTTGCGAGCAGCTACGCATGTGGCATGTTGGGAAAATTGTAGTGGGTGATTTTAAAGAGCAGTTACCAATTCAACATGTTCATGAGTTTTTTTTCCTAAACTGTGCGAGTTGGTGGATCTGGCTGTGCATTGTCAAAACAAAAAACCATCACCATGCTACTTCCTGTCATTTTGGCAAGTAGCAACGTACAACTGTTGATCACGCGACTCGTGATGTGAAAAAAGTCTCCATTCAGGTTTTGCGAAATGTCAAGTTGATGGCTGGGGAGGGGGAAAATGCAAACAAACTCATCTTACCATGAAAAACTTCAGGGTTTTTCCCCCAAATTGCCACATTTCCAAAATTTCAGTTTGTGCAATTCTATTGTTAATTAAAATGCAGCTACCAGCAATAAAGTGTCATAATGCTGAACAAAGTGTCCCAGTCACCTGACTCCTGCTCAGAGGAATGGTGCTTTCAAATAGCGTCCAGACGACAGCTTCATTGCAGTTGGGGGTCGTGAGGGAGCCGTTGTAGCGGAAGTATTTATTCAAGCTGCTCAGAGGAGGAATAAGCATTTCCAGGGAGATGTCTGGCAGTGTGGCATTACTGGCTGAGGTTCAAAACAGACAGATTAGGAACCACAGGAACCATTTAATTGTGAAGTTCAGAGAAAAGTTGTTTATGGTGTTTTGTTACTGCTGGCCTTTAGCTCAACTACACAGATCAGTGTGCAGATAAAGGGGTTTGATTATGTTCCAATTCTGAGAAATCTGCAATAACTTACTGGGTTTAATGATTTGCTTCAGAGCGTCAACCAGGGGAGTGTACTTCTTATTCTCAGATAGAGACTCCTGAAATGAAGAAAGAGTGTCTGGAAATAAAATCAGGATTATATAAAGACCAGGGATTCACAGCAGGGATGCTCAACAGGTAATGATAAAGGAAGCTGAAAATTCAGTACAATGATGAATTGCTCACACTCAGTTCTTCAAGTCTTTAAATAATATTTACAGACAGATTTATGTTGCCACTTCATATCTGCCACTGACTGAATAACTGAGCGCAATATAAAGTCTGTTTTTATGTCAAATCTCCTCAAAGTTTAATTACATGCTACTGTTATAGCTCCTGTTTTTTAAGACCACGTTTTCACTGGGAAAAAAAAAAAAAGTTTTCCAAAAGCAATAATGGCAACACCTCACATTTAACTACCTTAAAGTTACCCATTAACTTACAAGTTTATCATTTATAATAGATATAGCATGCAGCAACATTTAAAGGTTTTATTGCATCTTGCAGATGAAGTTTCCCTTATTGCATGTTGGCGTCGTCGCATTAACCCTCAATTCAGATTGTTGACATAAAAAGTAGTAAAGTTACCTGAAAGAAAAATCCAAGAACTGCAATACCAGTGGGGTCCTTCACAGCCTGGGACAAAGAGTTGTAACCTTCTTTGATGTGGACAATGTGCATCTGTAGGTTACATGAAATATGCTTGCATTTTTAATTGTTCTTTTCCTGAGGTCAGGTTTATTGCATTCAAACAAAGGTCATAAAGTTAAATATGCTCCTGTTGCATGCATCACCTCCATGGGAAACTTCTCTCCATCAAGGGTGTGTTCGGATCCAGATGAGCCGTTCTTGCCCCAGTGCAGATGGAGCTGAATGGCTTTGTAATTTGCAGCCAAGTGTCCTCCACTGATCACAATACCAGGAGGCAAGTCCAGCTGAACTAAAGTGTGTAACACATGTAAAAGACCAACATAAGCAAAATACACATCTTTGTACACTTTTTAAATTAAATTTTTTAACTTAAGTATTTTTTTTTTAAATGTCAAAGTTTACAAAGAGCTTGAAAACAATGAAATTCTTCAGACTTGTCAAAGAATCTGAGACATTGCCTTCCTTCTGTCACTAGCAAGGAACCAACACACACACACAACACAAGTTCAATAAATTCACACCAACAGTATTTATCATTATCCTGGCCTTCTACTGAATAATTTTCAATAAATGTAAAAACAATTCAAATTCAAGAATAAAAAATATTTGAGGGAATTTGGTCATGAAACAAGTTGAGAAATCAGAAACTGTCAACACTCTCGTACTAAAAAAAAAAATTCTTTCCTCAATTTAAAATTCCTACCGTTCACCAAACTACTCTCAGCTCTGCTCTTTTCCCCCACCCCCAAAACTCCTTCCAGCTAAACATTACCTTCCAAGCATTATTACTGCCACTCCTCCTCATTTACTGTTTTTTCCAGCATAAAGGTAATTTGACCTGAGCCCTACCAGTGTGACCGTTGTTTATGAAGGTGACGGTAGACGCCTTATGATAGTTGACAAACTGAAGCGGAGTTAGGCGTTTGTCTTTGACCGTTTTCTTCGTCACAATGTTCACTGGAGACTGACAACTGCCACCGCATTGTTGAGAAATTTTTTGCCGTGCATCTGGACCTGTGAGGAGAAGATGACAAGAAGGCTAGGAAAACAACTTTCCCTGTTAAAACCGTTCATGTGATTGGACTGAAGCTGGGTTTACCTAGACAGGTGCTGTTGCAGCTAACCTGTGACTGGTAGCACCATTCTGGAAGAAAAAAAAAAAAAAAAAAAAAAAAAAAAAAAAAAAAAAAACGAGGGAGGGGGCGTAACAAAAAGATTTTTACTGAAAAAAAATCCAAATGTCAAGTCTCTTCAGTTGATTTAGTAACTAGTCTTGTGCAGCATCTTCATGAATCAAAGAAAGTACAATTTCTTAAGATTAAATTTTGTAAACTCCAAAAATTCATGAAGGTGTAACAAATTCAATAACATAAAACATTGCACAGGTTTGAAAAGGCTCAGTCCGTCTAATTTTAAAGATCTGAACTCATTAAAATGACTCTTTACAGGACATACCTGCAGCTGAGATGGTTTTCACGGACAACACAAAGCAAATTAAAACCCAGGTGAGCTGCATGGTGAAAACCCACTTTACGTCTGTCTGAGTTTTCTGACTGTGTTGGAGGTGAAGCATTGGATGGCATGTCCAGCGGTCTATTATAGGTCAGGTTGGCCCACCTATCAACCCCTCCCACACTGAATGATTTGCTGTTTCCATTTGGATTGATGATATCTCAGAAAAGATAATGACAAGAAAATGCTGATTGTCATCAACTTTAAAAACAGATTAATCCCTTGTCTCTTACCTTGCTTTTTTCCACATGGAATAAAATAGTAAGGATTTGAGTTTTTCTGTGTGTTTATTTAGGTTTCTGTCAGTTGATTGTTGTCTGTCTGCCCTTGATTGATCCAAGCTGTGTCTAGTTCCCTTGATTACCCCCTGTGTTTCTTGTTTGTCAAGTCCTTGTCTAGATTGTCAATACTGGGCTCATTATGAGAATTTGAGGTATAGATATTGGGATCCAACAGATGGCAGTAGTGCAACAATAATGGATGCAAGGTACTGTGAAATACTAAAAAAGAAGAAGAAAAGAAGCCGTCTAGATTGTCTAGTTGTCTCCTGTCTGCCCTCTATTGATTACTGTTTACCAGTTTCTAACAGATACTAGCTCCTGTGCTGCCTGGATTTTTGTGATTTTATCATTAAACCACCATCATCTTCAACTACCTGGGTCCTATCGCGTTTATCCTCACCATCTTCACCCCAACTTCATGACAAAAATATACAACTATATAAAGAAATAAAATTATAAAATGTTTTAACCCTATTGTAATTTAGACTGAGAGCAGATTTGCTTCCAATTCTCAATATTCTGCTGATTCTGCCTGATGTTTTAGTGATTTCACCTTTACTCTCAATACTTACAGCCTCGTTTGATGGAAGGATCTTCAACAATAATGCCATATTTGTAGTTTTTATACTTTTCCAACTTTTATCGGGTATTTTAAGTGTTTTCAAGCTCTTTGAACCATTCAAATCTGCACGAGTTTTTTAAAATAAGTAGACAAAGTCCTGTCCATTTTTCACTTTACCTTGACTGAGAGTTTAGATTCAACAATTCTGTCAAGTTTCATTTGAATGCGTTGACCTTAAATGCCTTTGTTCTGCTCAATAACAAAATTATTGTAAACAGAAGACGATAGTGATTTCTTGTTATTTTATGCCTGCAAACAGGTTTACAGTATAATGCATGACTACTTTAACAAGACAAACCATCTGAAGTTCAACCAAAGAGTTTATTACTCCAGAGGTGGACTTTGGGTTGATGGAAAGTTTTAAACTCACCAAGTCAATTTTACATATTTTTTTATTAGATATTCCAACTTCAAACAAGAAACATAACGCAGCATTAGTCAGTCCCTCCAGGATGTTTTTTTGTGATTGCGGCAGCAAAAATTATTGGCCTTTTTGAAAAAGTTGTGGTCAAAGTTGCTCATTTTTTAATGCTTCATTTTTGCCATAATACGGTCTTGAAAAAAGAGATTGAAATTGCTGGACATAACCAACCTTGAAAAGATAGGATTTTAACAGTTAATATTTAAAGTGCAAATAACATTTTCAAGCATATTCTTGAAACAGAACATTAATGTAAATAAAATTATGCCCTGAGGAGTTATCAAAGTGCAAAAGATGAATTCCATATTGGTCATTCAAGTAAACAGAAAATGTTTAGATAGTGTAAACAAATCCTACAGGACATCTTAAAAGTATTTTAATAGCAAATGTTACTGTTTAACGTCACATGCTTTCATTTTGCATGTACAGCTTTTAAGAGATGTGAAACAACTAATTTAGAAAGAAGCTAAGGGAATTGGTCAAAATTCAGCCGAGTTGCTGTAATTGGTCAGAAATACAGGAAAATAAAAAAAGGAAATATACAAAAATATTAAGCTAATGGGTCAGATTTGCGGAAAATTGCAAGTCTGCGCAAAAAATTTAGCAAATTTGCGTGATTGCAACTTTCTGGAAGGACTGATCAGTAGCATCCACAAAACTTTATGGAGAGGAGAGTCTGTTAGATACAGGGAGAGCAGTGTGATTTTTGTCCTGGTCGTGAAATACTGGACCTGCTATACACCCAAAGCAGGGTCCTGGAGGGTGTATGGCAGTTCACCCATCCAGTTTATATGTGGTTTGTGGACTTGGAGAAGGAGTTTGACTGTGTCTCATGGGGGGTAGTCCTGGGGTATGGGGTACCAGATATGACTGGTGCCAGAGCTCAGTCCACATTGCCAGCAGTAAGTTGGACTCGTTTCCAGTGAGAGTTGCACTATGTCACTGATTCTGTTCCTTTATGGACAGAATTTCTAGGTGAAGCCGAGGGGGTCCATTTGGATATCCTTAGGATTGCATCTCTGCTCTTTGCAGACAATGTGGTTATTTTGGTTTCATCTGGTTGTGATCTCCAGCTTTCACTGGAGTGGTTCTCAGATGAGTATGATGCAGCAAGGATGAGAAACAGTCCCTCCAAATCTGAGGTCATGTTCTTGAGCCGGTGTAGTGCCTTCTATGGGTCAAAGAAGAGATTTTGCCCCGAGTGAGGGAGTTTAAGTATCTTGAGGTCTTGTTCATGAATGAAGGAATATTGGTGCAGGAGATAGATGGATGGATTGGTGCAGCGTCTATAGTACAGCAGACGTTGTACCTGTCTGCTGTCTCTCACTTCTCACCATGAAGCGAGAGACCATGAAGCGTCTCTCGCTTCATGGTGAAGCGAGAGAAGAGCAAGCAAATAGGCAAAGCTCTTGATTTACCTGTTGACCTACCTTCTTACCCTCATCTATGATGAGGAGCTTTGGCTAAATACCAAAATAATTAGATCATAGATACCTCAACCAAAATCAGTTTTCTCCACGGGTTTCCCAGGCTCTCCCTTAGAGATAAACTGAGAAACTCGGCCAGTCCACAAAACACACCACCAGTCAAGGTGACTCGGGCATCTGGTTAGGATGCCTTCTTGACGCCTCCATGGAGCGGAGTTCTGGGCTCATCCCACCTGTAGGAGACCCAGAGGAAAACCCAAGATATGCTGAAAGACTATGTTTGTCGGCTGGTCTGGGAACACTTTGGGATTTCCTCAGAGGACAGAGTCTAAGAGGTCAGTCTGGGTCTCTCTGCATAGACTGATGCCTGGCAACCTGACTCTGGATAAGCTGATTGATTGATTGATTGATTGATTGATTGATTGATTGATTGATTGATTGATTGATTGATTGATTGATTGATTGATTGATGCTGACAATTTGCTGGGTTTAGAATTTAGGTTCATAAATTTTTGGTCGATTGCCTTGCGTTGTTCCTACTGTTTTCTGACCTCTGACCAGTGAAGATTATCATTAGGAGCCTTTCACACCAGATCGGTTTGCTCCACTCGGTCTACTTTAAATGGACCAGAGGTGTTTTCCTTGGATAGTCCACTTTGTTCTGGCGGGACAAAATGCTCATCCAAACTCTGCTGCAGTCCAAGAACACAAATCCTGGTCCGCCTGAACATGCGGATTGAGGTTTCCTTACTGTGAGAACGTAAATCAAGTGAACCAAAGAAAAGAATGGAAAAGATAAAATTTATGAATACATGCATGCTCTGAAATCCTTGCTAGGAGTCTGTTATAATAAAATCATCTCATAAACGTTTTCACAAAACAAATCAAGCTGAGAGAGAGTGAGTTACTTTGCTGGAACTGGCTTTATAGCCTCCTGTCACGCAACTAGATCTTTAATGATCTAACCCCGGGCTGAAGGAAGGGGAAAAACCAAGTATGACTAAACCAGTGATATTGGAAAAATCTCTGCAAGACGTTTTATCAAGTCCACAATGGACAGAGTGTACAACAAAACATGGTGCGGCCCTATTCGGACATGTACAATGCAATTTGAGGGATGACCTTCTCAGCCAATCCCGTTGCTCTGTTGAGCAGCACTGAGGTTGTCCCAAAACCTGAAACAGAGAAGGCACCTTTGTCTGAAGGTTGAGCCTCTGTGAAGACCTGCGCTTTTAAGGGCAATGATAAGGATCAGGTTGAACAGGACAGATCAGGTGAAAAGTCTTATGCAATGACCCATTTTTTCTTCATGCCGCTTGTTAAAATCCTGATTCCCACGCCATCCCACAAAAAAAGAGAAAAATTATGAAACCCGAGGGAGCGACAAACGGGGATGTGGGCCATTTTAAAGAAATTTCACCAGGAGGAAAAGATGAGGCCGCAACAACTAAAGAGCTTTTGATGGCGAGATAAGACCAGAGGCCTGTGAAGCTAACAAAGCCTGAGTTTAGAAGTTGAATCTCTTCACCACAATGTTTTAGGACACTCAGTGCGGCAGTAATCTCCTTAATGAGGGAAATGATATCCAGAATGGCTAACCCTGCATCATGGTACCAACATCATCCCAGCACAAGTTTCAACAACTTTCACAGAGATGTAGCGTTGAATGACAGCCAAGATACTTCAACCCATCACATTGTTAACATTTATTAGACAGCTGCACTGATTTTTATTTGAACATTCTGTACAAGCTCACTTTACAGCATGCCTTTGCACATTAATTTGTGTGTGTGTGTGTGTGTGTGTGTGTGTGTGTGTGTGTGTGTGTGTGTGTGATGTTTTTTGCTACATGCATTTCTGAAAATGATTATGCATTTTATGAATAAAAT